AATGTAACGTTAAACTTATTACCCATTAGTACAACGAACATTTATCATCCCTATTTTATACTCATTTTAAACCGGTACCATGAATTATTGATGACGAGGATATTAAGTTATATAGTAATTCTTTGATATGTGGACAAACGACACAGCAAAATCAAACGATGTCCACATGGACTAACTATCCATTTATCCGGGGACGGACCCAGCTATGTGGTATAGGTTGACGTGCCACCGTATTATTTTTCCGTCGAAGGGTAAAAAAAAATAGAATCGTGAACGGTGCAACCGTATTAATTTGTTGTGTGCCACCATTTGTATTTTGAAACTACAGTGAGAACAAGTTTTATTTGGTAGAGTTGATTTGCAAGGCTTTCATTCCACCCAGACCCAAGTTTGAATCCTGTTAGTATCATTTTTTTTTTGAAAGGGTATCCGAGCCAAAGCTCGACTAATCCCCGGCACTTCCAGGGCTAAAACACGCCCCTTGGTAAATGTCGCACAGGATGTGCGAAGAGGGATTCGAACCCGGGTTCAGCACTATGAACTGCCCAGGCACTAACCACTCCACCACAACACTGATTGACTAGTATCATTTTCTTAATCAAATGGTGCCATCATTTGAAAAAAATTCATATATTTGTTTCTTATAGTCAAACAATGCCATCTTTTGAAAAAAAATTCCCTGTATTTTTTTCTTATGGTCAAATGGTGCCACTATTTGAAAGAAATTATGGGTCCGTCCCTGCATTTATCAGGTTCAATAAGCATACCATATAATGCTTATTTGTTACACTAATCGATCTTTAAAAAAAATCCTTCATTACATTAAATAATAATTAAGACAAACTTCATAACATTTCGATGAATTTTACCTATAGAAAAAAAAACAAAAACGTTGAAACACGAAAAATTCTATGTTCTTTCAATCTACATCGCCACAGTGAAATCGATTCCTGGGGCCAGTATATGGATTCCCTCTTGTGATTAGTGGGTAAGTTTCGTTGTATTTTGTTGATTTAACGAAATCCGTTAGTTCAACTGATCGATTGATTCGTATGTTTCCCTTTTTGGCAATCCTCTAAGCTCGGATGTTGAGCATTGGCTATTGTATTGTTAGTTAGCTTGTCATCAACTCATCGTGATTCATGAGATGTAGACGTATTTTGGGAATTCTATGCAAACAGTAGTCAAATGACACGACTTTTGATGTTTTGGGTTTCAAACTCATAAATTGGATCGCTCTGATAAACCTTTTCTTTATGATGTTCTTTATTTATTTATATAGAGGTATTCATAAACTTTATAAACATAATCATTTATGGTAGTTAAGACTGTCAACCATTTACCAGCAACTAAGGGAACATATTACGTAGCTCATATAGATACGTTTCGTTCTTTAAAAATCATTTAAGGGGTTGTTTGTTTACCTCTTAATAGCTCCACTAAGAAGTTAATCTTGTTTGACAAAAATAAAAACTGTCTTTTAATGGTTTTAACACCCTCTGAATGATATTGTATTCTGGGTCCCCCTTTAACCATTCAATGCACTAATTTCATTGTAAACAATTACCGAACAATTATGCTTCATTTTGCACTATATCATGAGAGCCTCTTAATCATTCTGACAACTTAATCATTTTGCATCAAATCATTCAGCAACGGCCAAACAACCCCTTACCTAAATTTAAACCCTATGTGGGCAAATTGCATAAATAATCTACTTTAGTTCAATTTATCTGTCTAAAAAGTGAGAACATATCGAAAACATATTTAAAATTCTATACTTTGAAAAATGTCTAGTTTTCTGTACTATGTTAGCGTGTATGTTAAACTTAAGGCCCTTAACAAACACTTACCGACTATGCTCTTACTAGGTGATGCTATCTATATTTGTCATCCAGACTCGACAATGTAAGTGATATCTGGTAAACACTTACCGAGTAAGTGTTTACCAACAATCCTACCTAGTAAGTGAGAGAAAAGACTTTTACCCGGTAAATACTTACCGGGTAAAATACTTTTACCAACAATCCAGTTTGATGTCCAAAAATGTTATCCCTTAAGGTAAGTGAGGATGGTAACTTTTATCGATAAACACTTATACAGTAAGCATTTGATAACGAACCCTAGTGTTTTTTTTTAGAATACAAATTAAATTATAGATCCTTTAACAGACATTTCATAAACCATTTTTAAATTAAACCATATATATTTAACAAAATAAAAAAATGTGCATTTACTTATTAACAAGAATTAAACCATTTAATCAATTATAAATTTAATTTATTAAATGTGTAATCTCACAAACATATGTGAACATAATTGCTGAACGGTATTTATGTAAAAGATAATATGCATTCAATGACATCGTTTACAAACAGTAGATTTCATACATGTTCAATTGTGTTCATAATTGCCACAAGTGTATATATTTGTTCAATTTGTGTTTATAATTGCATAAGTGTTCACACGTATGTTCAATTTTTGTCTATAATTGCCACAAATGTTCACATATATGTTCAATTTTTGTTCATATATGTCAATTTGTGTTCATAATTACCAAGACACTCGTTTTAATTATTTACTTCACTTTCCGATCTCGAACTCCGATTGTCACCATAAACAATTTTAATCTTCTCAATGTTGTCGTGTTGTTTTCAAATGTCTTTATCCATAATTGCTTGAATTATAACAAACACTTTACTAGCGGATCTCTTCCACCAATCACAGATTTATAAATATTAAAAATGGAAAATCATATTAGAAATACGAAAAAATCATGGAATTTTATGGATTTTATAACTCTCGGTTAATAATATAGGAGTTACAAAAAAAAATACACATATACTCTTAACATTCAATTCTTAGATAGTGAAGAACCTAATACCAAGATGGACTGTAATTGGTCTAAATTGTTTATAAAGTTAACATAATAATTTGGATTAACATTTGAACTAAGCTATATATATATATATATATATATACTAGAAAAAAAGGAGTATCTCACCATGTTTTATGCAAGTATGAGCACTTTTATCCAAGTGCTTAAAAAGACGACATCTTTATAGAATCTGCTAAGTGCATGTAAATTGATATATACTTCATTTTGCATGCTTTGTTGAAATAACGTTATCGCTATGATTAATCCATTATATTTATTAAGTTGTTGGACTTACGTAAAAACATTATCATTGTCTTTCATAAACTGACGAAACATATATAATCAGTAATGTAAAACCCTGACTTTCAAATTCACGAATAGACGTTCACAAGTCTTCCTAAGAACATAACATTAAACCCTGAACATTACTTCTATATAAAAAAGTTACAAATCGCCACTTTTTAACGTCATCGGTCTTAAATGTCAACATTATCAAAATAAAGAACGAAATACAACGGCTAATGGGTGCATTGTTTGTACTTCAACTTCTAAATGAATAAATAATTATAAATATTCGGACGTTTGTCAGTTTATAAAAACAAACCTCTTTATTGGTTCAAATTGTTAATTTTGATGAGTAATTCTAATGATTGCAAGTATTATGTGGAGTGTATGAAATACGCTTTAAGGATAAACGAGAACAATGTATTTTGACAATAAGTAATGGTACCAAAAGGCTTTTGGCCTAGCGGTATCATAACCCTTGGCCTTCTAGGAGGTTAGAGGTTCAAACCTCACCATAGGTAATGAGGGTGTGTAAGTTTATTTGTTGCATTTGCCGTATATAAATATTATATACTTCAAAAAAAAAGTAATGGTTTCAGTTTCTAAACCAACACCTTTCTATTCGAAAACTTTCACAACTTGGCAAAATATACCCCTATACATCATTTTTTGATACTTTACACCCCAAACAAAATAAAATACTTTTCTATTTAAAAAAACGTATTTCTATAGTTATTACAAAAAGTAGGATAATACTTATACGTGTATTTTTATTTATGATTGTTTCAAAGTAAATAACCAGATTCTTAAGTTTACTTTTAATTAATGCACAAGTATTTAAGAGTTGTGAAAAGAGAAATAAAGTAAGGGTAAAGATGTCATTTGGTTAACAAAAAAAATGTAATAATTATGCATGTTTTGAAATGTTTGTCATTTTATTGTGGACACTTATTTTGGTTTTACTAGAACAATACTCGCAAAATGCAGCGATACATCTCCATTTTAATGTTTTATTTTATTTATTTTTGTCTCAATCGATGTTATAATACGGTTTATGTGGTTTTAAGAAAGCAATAATGTTTTTATTTTCAAATAAAATATAAATATGAAGATATCATGAAATTTAAAAAGAAAAATATTGATATTAGTATCAAAATAACCATTTAAAATTCTCTTTTTTTTAATATATTTTTAATTCATTTTTTTGGTTTAATAATATAAATTTTTATAAAGATAATAATTGAATATTTGTAGAACTCAATGAATAGATTTTTTATATTTAAAATAAAATGTTTATCTTCTATTTCATTATGTCTATATGTAGTTGGTTACACGATTTCAAAGATGAAGCTATAGTAAGTTGTACTTACGCACAATTTACTTGTAATCTTGAATTTTAAATAATATACATTAATAAACAGTACTTCATGCATAAAAAAATAGTTTCTAAGAGTTTTTGTCAAATATATTATAATATATAGTATAAATATGCACAATTGCCGATGAAAAATGACGTTTCCTATTTTTTTTTTTTATTGTTCTCTCTCACATAGATTGTGTATAATTGTGTGTGTGTATATATATATATATATATATTGTGTATGTATAACCATGGCGTTTTTTATTTAATACTAAAAATAAAAATGAAGGGGAACAAAATCTAAGGTTTTATAATTGGTTGAGTGGTGATCCAATATTTTGATGATCTTAAAAATAAAAAAATAAAGTCTATTTTATTTTAATATTTTTATAAATTAAAATTGTAAAAAGTCAAATGTTTGACCTACAAACTTCCCCCACCTTTCTTTCTTCCATACCACAATCTGTATTTCTCCTTCTCCTACAAATACCCAATCAATCCGCCATTAAAATGTGTTCTTCTTCTTCTTCCTCTTTCTCTGCAACTTTTCAACTCAACAATGGTGGCTCTCTCTAATCCCACAATCGAACAGTTCTTCGTCAAAACCTGTAAACCAGTCAACCCTTTGACTTTCCCTCCTTCAATTCCCCTCATTGACCTCTCGAAGCCTGAATCAAAACACCTTCTTGTCAAAGCTTGTCAAGATTTTGGATTCTTTAAAGTCGTTAATCATGGAGTTCCTACAAAATTCATCAATAAACTCGAATCGGAAGCCATTAAATTCTTCTCTTCTCCTCTTTCGGTGAAACAAAAAGCTGGCCCACCTTCACCTTTTGGCTATGGCAGCAAGAACATCGGTAAAAATGGCGATGTTGGTTGGGTTGAATATCTTCTCCTCAACCCAAATCCCGAATCCGATTACCACCAACTTCTTTCCATTTTTGAAGAACACCCAGATGATTTCCAGTATGAAATCACGAATAAAATTCAAATCTGTATCGAAATTGAGTCATTCTTTTTTGCTAAATTTGATCGGTTTTTTGTTGTTTGTTGTTGTTGCAGGTGTGTTGTTGATGATTATGTTGCAGAAGTGAAGAAGATGGCGTGTGAGATTCTTGAATTAATGGCGGATGAGTTGAAATTAGAGCCGAAGAATGTGTTGAGTAAGTTGTTAATGGATGAACAGAGTGACTCTGTTTTCAGGGTGAACTATTATCCGCCATGCCCAGAGCTTCAAGAACATGAAATCAATGGCAGGAACTTGATCGGATTCGGTGAACACACAGACCCGCAAATCATATCCGTTTTACGATCGAATAACACTTCTGGACTCGAGATTTCGTTAAGAGATGGGAGTTGGGTATCTGTTCCTCCTGATTCCGATTCTTTCTTCATCAATGTTGGTGACTCTTTACAGGTACATATCGGAAAAAAACCGAAACCATTTCCATCTTCGAGATCCATAATTCGGTTTCTTGATTTCTTACGACTTAAAAAAACCGAAACCATTTTTCTTCATGTTTATCGTAATCATAATCGCTCTCTGATAAAACATTGATCAGATCACATCAATGATTTGCAACGTTCAAAACCGTTAGAATTTGACCATTTCCATTTTTTTCTCAACGTACAATGAAATCTTCTTCTTGGCTTTTTTTTGGAAGCGTTACTAATCCCGACAAATTATACCCGCAAGAAATCAGTCTTACTGATAAACCCAGTAGACACAATTGTTGTGTACTCGAACCCTGAGTGAGTGGATGAGATATTCCACTACATCCCAGGACCTCAACCACTACAGTACAGATAAATCAAGCAGGTTCTACATATTCTTACATAATATAGAGCCAACGTCTACCAATCTAGACAATAATTTGTACTTGTTTAACCACAAGGGTGGTGCCTGATTGGTTTGAACTTGTCTCCAAAGGTCAAAAGTACCAGGAGATTTCGAGTTCAAATCCCAAGGAGAAATAAAAATCATCTTGCGGCACGGAGGTTCAAATGTGGTGACTCCGGGCTATCTGCAAAGCAGGTGGTCGCCTTCGGATTAGTCGGCTCGCCGGGTTAGATATCCAAGTTAATAAAAAAAAAAAAATCTGTAGTCGTGTAGTCCCTCTTGGGACTTTAAGACAATTTGTGCCCATCTAGTTTTCGTTCAGGAACATGTTAAAGTCTCACATCGCTAGATTTGAAACATTCTTCATGTTATACTTATAAAAATATCTGTTCTATTTTAAAGGTTATCTTTACCGAATAATTTAATGAGATTTCATATATATATATATATATATATATATATATATATATAGGGTCGGGTTCACGTGAGACCAAAGGTTTTTCGTGAGACCCGTAAGACCAATTTATGTTCATTGATCAACTTTATAANTATATATATATAGGGTCGGGTTCACGTGAGACCAAAGGTTTTTCGTGAGACCCGTAAGACCAATTTATGTTCATTGATCAACTTTATAATCTAATGATCTAATGGTCAAAATTGCAAGGTGGCAATTTTGTAAATATTGAGAAGTCTCGTGGCGTTTATGAATGTTCAGATCTGACGATTGTAAATCTAATCCAAGGGTTGAGAATTGGTCTTACGGGTCTCACGAAAAACCCTTGGTCTCACATGATCCCAAGTCTACATATATATATATATATATATATTTATATATGTAGACTTGGGATCATGTGAGACCAAGGGTTTTTCGTGAGACTCGTAAGACCAATTCTTAACTCTTGGATTATATCTACAATATGACAATCTAAACATTCATAAACGCTATGAGATTTCTCAATAATCACAAAATTGTCACCGTGCAACTTTAGACTATTAGATCATTAGCTTATAAAGTTGATCAATGAACATAAATTGGTCTTACGAGTTTCACGTAAACCCAACCCTATATATATACATATATGTATGTATGTATGAGTGACAGACATTGGAGAGAAGAGAAAAGGTCAAATGGCTCCTGTATATAGATTTGCCATCAATACAGCATCTTTACTTTCCATGTCTTAATCAATCCTTTTCCCAAGTTCTACAAGTCACTGTCTACCTACATTTCAAGACAAAAGAATATAACAATCATTAAGCACATATAACGATCATACAGACATCTGTAAAGCCCCGTATTCAGCACGGATTTCAATATATTCTAACGGAAACGAGTATCGAAAACCGTAACAGACGAGAGATGATGTGTTGACAGGTGATGACAAACGGAAGGTTCAAGAGCATAAAGCATAGGGTGGTGGCAAATAGCAAAGAGAGCAGGGTGTCAATGATATACTTTGGAGGACCACCATTGAATCAGACGATAGCTCCATTGCCATCACTCCTTCAAACAGACGAAGACAGCTTGTATAAGGAGTTTACTTGGTTTGAGTACAAAACTTATGCTTTCAATTCAGCTTTATCACATGATAGGTTGGGTGTTTTTGAAAAAATCCCTTCTAAAATTTGATTTTTATTCTTATTATTATTATTATATATAAAGGAAAAGGAATCGGGTTTCTGATCGATTTGGTTCTGATACAATTTCATGTTCTGTTGTTGTTGTTGTTGTTGTGGTGGTGGTGTGACGAGATCTCTGGTAATAGGTTAAGTGGTTGGTTCTCAAACGTCACAAAAACGAGGTCGAGGGGATTGTTTTTATGATGTGTAGAAGGATGTTGTGTAGGAAGGTGTGATCCCGATGCAAAAAAACGTACGGTGCATGTTATTTACGTCGTTTGTTGAAACTGTAAACGTTTTCGACTAGTGGACGGGATTTTATATAAGTTGATAACGCCCATGAGATTCAAACGGTGACAAATTGAAGTAAAGTTTTAAATCTAATTCACTCGACTAATTCTTAAGTAATCCGACTTGACGTCTTTTCGTTGACAATATCTGATTTTGCATCTTATGGTGTCTTTTTATTCTGCAAATATGATGATTAGTTTGTGATGATATGTAACACGGGTCCTTGTGGCTTTAGCCTATTAGATAAGAAGGTGAACTTTTTTGCAGAATAAATGAGATCTGGTGTTCAACTTCAGCCACCACCCAGTTGCCTGGACATACTATTTACCGACCCCATGATGGTTGTGAGACCAGTACAATGATGATAGTTAGCTGTTACATCATATGTGTAGCAGATGTTTACAAGGATAATGGATGTGAAGGGCACTGGACTGTAAAAAAAAACCTAAAAACCACATTGGATATGAAAGAAACTTTGTAATTTAGGTCATATTTTGAAATAATTATTCAATTAATTTCAAAAATATAAAAATACACTGAGAATGGTAAATTTGTATAATTGCAAAAGAAAATATTAGATATGTTGTTGTTTTATTTCTTTAAAAAATAAACATAAAAAGTATTAAAATGATTATTTTTTATTCTTAATTAAATATAAGTTTATCTTTTATTTTAATAAAAGGAAACCCCTTTAATTTTAATTTTTATTACCAAATAATATATATATATATATATTATAAATTATTTGACAAAAACTCTTAAATACCATTTTTTATGCATGAAGTACTCTTTATTGATACATATTACTTAAAATTCAAGATTACAAGTAAATGTTGCATAAGTACAACTTATTAAAGCTCTATGTTTGAATTCGTGTAACTAACTACGGATAAACATAATCAAATATAAGATAAACATCACATTTTAAAATATAAAAAATCTAAAATATAATTTGGATAATTACTGAGTTCTAACAGAATACCTAATTGTTATCTTTATAAAAAATTATATTATTAAACCTAAATTAAGTTACTTTGTTACGATAAATTAAATTATAATACAAATTTTGAATTAAAAAAGAAATACACAAATAAAAAAAATTAGATAGTTAATTTGATATTAATATTGATGTATTTTTTGCAAATTTTATATGATATTTTTAAATTTATATTTTATTTATTCAAAATCACATAAAATCGTATTATATAGACATAAATAAAAAATAAAACGAAACATTAAAATCGAAATGTGTCTCGATGCATTGCACAAGTACCTTTCTAGTATATTTAAAATAAAGATGGCTCAGTTAAGGATAATAGAAGGGCAATTGGTTTTATATTTTGAAATGTATTTTTTGGCTCATTCAACAGTTGAGGTTAGTTGTGGGACCCGAGGTCGAACCCGGGACCTACCTTGTATTTTAGCAACGTCACCAAACCATTTGCCAACTGAATTACATGTAGGGATGTAAATAACTCGAGTTTTTAACGAGCTATTCGAGTTCAAGTCAATCTTGAACACAAAATAACCATAACACCAATGTTCGACTTGACTCGTTCGGAAGCTCGATTAAACTTTACGAGTCGAATTGAGCCATTTGAGCATACACTTTTTTGAGCCAAACATGTTTATATGTTTACAAATTATATAATCAAAATATAAAAATCCTCGAGCTTGGGTAAATAAATGAGTTAATAATCTCGAATTCAAACTTGTAAACGCGTATCGTGCTCAAACTTTGAAAAATTATTCGAGCTTGAGCTCGAGTCCAAGTTTGAAAAAGTTAGGGGATGTTTACTACTTGCTGACCAGACTAACCCGGTCAGCAAATCTAACTTGGTCAACAGTGAGGCGTTTACCAAATCAATGATCTGATCGAAAATGACCGAGATGCTGATCGAAATCTTACCGAGCCAGCACCAAATTGATGCTTACCTGGGTCAGTTTCTTTGTTTCCCTCGTTGTCCTTCCCCTCATTTGGCAAAAAGCTTCTGATTCATGAGATTGTAGCACTCGGAGGTCAGTGATATGGTAAGAGCTCGCTTCTTGAAGCTCTTCTTGGATTCCGATCCAATGTGCGTGAGGTCGTAATGGGGACACGCAAGCCTCTTATACTCCTTATGGTTCATGATCCAACAACTTTTGATCCTACGTGTGTCGGTTTCAGGTTCAATTCATGTTTTACCCGACTCTACAGTTTTAAATCTATGAATGAATTTGTTTCAGCTTAATCTTAGGACTTAAGAGTTTTTGGAAATTGTTGACCATGGAGTGAATTTGTAGTTGATATTTTTGACAGTAACGTCAAGAGGAGGACTCCGAAGAATATGGCAGTCCTGCTGTATTAGCATCAACAATGGCAAACATAATTTCTCAAAACATAATTACAAATGAGGTTATAATGGTCATTTTATTGTTGGTAAGCATTTACCAAAAATATTGGGATAAAACACTCTTACCCGCACAACACTTACCCATGAGTCATGACAAAACTTACTAGGGTCAACACTTTTACCCGGACAACACTTACCCGATAAGAGTTGGTAAATAGTCCCTTACTCAAATTCGGGTCGCGCTCGAGCTGATATTATTTTTCAACCGAGCTCGAATAACCTGCTACTCACCTCGGTTTCGGCTCATTTACACCCCTACTACATGCATGATGCATGTAAGCAAATAGGTAATTTTCATGGGCCATGTAATTGGCAAATATGGGCCAATTGGGCAGCCCAATTAAATGGCCCATTTACAATATTTCTAATTCTATCATCATTTGCAAATTACTGGCTGCTTTCTTGGGGGATATACAGTTGGCAGCACTGCTCAGAACCCTAGATTTTCGCATCTTCTCCGACCGGCGATCTACATTCAACTAATAGAGAGAGAGAGAGAGGGATGTCAATGGAGAATCCTCCACAGAAAGAAGTTAATTCACTTTCGCTGACTTCACAGGACGGATCCTCCTCTTTAAATCCCTCGAATTCTTCCACACAGCAAGTTCCATCTCTAATTTACATGCATGCGATGATTTTTGTTACATATCCGACTTTTTGATTATGTTTTTAGCTTATTTTGAATGAGTTGCAACTAATTTGAACCTAATTTCACTGTGAATTGTTACTTTCACTTCGTATGCAATGAGCAATAACTTTGTTATGATAAACGTCAGGGTAATATTTATTGTTTTGAGATGCATTACTATTTGTGGCTGTGAATTTCCGCTAAAGGATGAAAACTTGTTTTACCATCGGGAAAGTATATTGTGTTTGGATTCATTTGATCAGCAAAAATTGAAGAGTATAAGAAGCAGTGTTTTCAAGAGGAGGGACTAGAATCGCTTTTTAGCTGCTATAAGGCATAAATGAAATAAATGGAAACAGAAGTAGGACGTAGAAATGTTTCCTGAGAATTTAAAGAAGTTGGATTTAGTAGTCTGGGAAAAATAGAATTATGAAAACAGTACATATTTGTTATTATTGGAACGTAGCTGTATATTGCCAATCATGTTTTACAGCTGTAGTAATTAAGGCTATTGAACTGAATAAGTTTGTGTTGTGCTTAGGATGAGCGTGGAGGAAAAATTTAGGATCGTGAGGAGTATTGGAGAAGAGTGCATCCAGGAGGAAGAACTCCTGAATCTTCTTACCAAGAAGCCCCAGCCAATTTGCTATGACGGTTTTGAACCCTCTGGCAGAATGCATATAGCTCAGGTATGTTAGCAGAAAGCTCAGTTTGGTTTCCCTTTTGAACAATTCACTGAGATTTTTGTATGTTCTTTTAAGCTTTCTATTAATGCAACCCATTTCAAGTCATTCTCATTATCCCATTTAGCACACTAAAAATGAGCTTTTGCTCAAGATCTTGGTAGAATTGAGTTGTAACTAGCCATAGATCATGATTAATGGATACGTGCATGAAACTATCCGGGAAGAGGGGTGGTCATGTGTATGCTCATAGAATTTCTGGAACAACCCAACCCGATGATCCAAATTCAATTTTGATTGCTATAGATCTTAAAACTTAAATATTGCCTTTGCATTGATGTTTATAGAGAGAGTCTTATATTTTATGTTATAGGAATATCTAACAAAACCACATTTTCCATGATTCATATCAAATGAACCGAAACATGAGGACTGTTTACTCCTATAAAGAAGGTGAATTTGTTATTTGATTTCCTATTAAAGACATAAGAAGTGAGGATTCAAAAACCGGTGGGGAGATATTATAGAAAAAGTTAAAATTTCAGTTAGCTCATTTGTTTGGAGACAATATTAGATGTTAGTTTGACTATTTAATATGTTGTAGATGGAGTATGTTGCCTTTCATAACACGTAAGATTAGAAGATACAGCTTTACCTCATTTAAAAGTCACTTTCGGTTAGGTGTATTTTCCTACCAATGCAATAACCGATGCCCATATTAATTTTTTTAGTAAGCTGCTTATATGTTTCTGTTGGTGTTGTGTTTTGTGTTTCTTGCTAAACAGGGTGTTATGAAGACGATTAATGTTAATAAGCTGACTTCTGCTGGTTGCAAAGTAAAAATTTGGATAGCAGATTGGTTTGCTCAATTAAACAACAAAATGGGTGGAGATTTGAACAAAATCCAAACTGTTGGACGTTACTTGATTGAGATCTGGAAAGCCGCAGGGATGAATTTGGAAGGAGATAAAGTAGAGTTTCTTTGGTCCTCTGAGGAAATTAATTCAAGAGCACATGAGTACTGGCCTCTCGTAATGGATATTGCTCGAAGAAACAAGCTTCCTAGGATTATGAGGTTGGTGGATCCATGGATATGAATTTATTTACAATGTTGAATTCTAATGTTATGAAGCAGCTCTCTTATCATTCCATTATCAATCGTTTTAGGTGCTGTCAGATTATGGGCCGGAATGAGCAGGATGAGTTGACTGCTGCCCAGATATTCTACCCATGCATGCAATGTGCAGATATATTTTTCCTTAAGGTTCTTGTTTAATCTTTTTTTATATCCAAGGGGCTGTTTCGTTGATTTTCCATCAAGTCCTGTATAGATAAAATTGTATGTGTTACTAATCCGTCCGTATAGGTTGGGAAGGTTTTTTCATAGATGGAAGGAGCGTGTTTTTTTTAATTGGTAGGAGCAGGTTTGGAATTTTTTTGGCTTTCTGCATAAAGCTCTCCCCCAAGAAGCTTACTGAATAAGCCACTTTATATCATTAAGCCAGTATCAAACAGTCATTTATAGCTAACCAAATAAGCTGTGAGTCTCATTAAGCTGCGAATAAACAGGCCCTAAAACAAACATGACCAGCTTTATATCTAACACATATTAGACATGACCTCATGGTCACATACAAACATGTCCGTTGATCATAGGGAGTTGTCTTTTGTCATACTCTTTAACAATTTCTCATTTAATCCATTCACAACTGACTTAATCATTATTATATGATTTTCTATTGTTTTTTGCTAAGAAGACTTCTGGTTTATGATTCTATTTACATTGGTGCCTATTTAATGAATCAAAAAACAATTTTGTTCATTGGAATAGGCTGACATCTGTCAATTAGGCATGGATCAACGTAAAGTAAACGTTCTTGCAAGGGAGTACTGTGATGACATCAAAAGGAAAAACAAGCCTATCATATTGTCTCATCGTAAGACCCAAAATTCTAACTTATTCTTATTTTTTATCATTGCTTAACTAACATGGTGGTTGTTCCGTGCTTTTGCTATGAAGACATGCTTCCCGGTCTGTTGCAAGGACAAGAGAAGATGTCAAAATCTGATTCTTCTTCAGCCGTCTTTATGGAGGATGAGGAGGTATGATCTTCCCAACCCCCAATTTTCCATAAACCCTAAACCTTTCTTGGCTCTTTAGTAATAACCTTTGCTGTTAAAATTTGTAAAAGCTATGATGGAAGAAGTATAAAGATTTTTCTTTTGATTGATGCTTAAACTTCTTGAATTTTGCTCATATGCTATCAACCGTTTGTGGGTGGTGATGCTACAGGCTGAGGTTAATCTGAAGATAAAGAAAGCGTACTGTCCGCCCAATATTGTTGACGGGAATCCATGCCTCGAGTACATCAAATACATTGTATTCCCTTGGTTTAATGAGTTCAAGATTGAAAGGAAAGAGGAAAACGGAGGTGAAAAGTGAGTTTTTGACTGCTACAAACATGATTCTTGGGCCTCCAAAAGCTTCTCATTTGAAACTTGATTAATGGCATTTCCACTGATACTTGTCTTCTTGATTATTCTCTTCAAATCAGGATCTTTACCAGTTATGAAGAATTAATTGCTGATTATGCAAAAGGAGATCTGCATCCTGCTGATTTAAAACCTGCGCTATCAAAAGCTTTAAATAGGATTTTGCAGGTATATAGTTTTCAACTTTTTAAATAAATGCTCCACACCCTCATAGTAACTAAGGATACGTTTGCTATTTGCTACGTGGGACATGACAGAACAAAACAAAAACTTGTCGTCCCATGTTTGGCCCGATATTAGAATTGGATAGGACGGGACTGAGTGGGACAAAAATGCAATTTTTTTTGTCCCACCAAAATAGGTGGAACAAAAATCAGGGAATTGGGACAAGATTTATAAATTGTTACCCGCCTACCTCACTCGCCTGTCCGTGCACCAAATGCACCCCCAACAGAATTCACATACTCCTGTGAGTGCATTGTGTTAGGGACTGTTTGGTTGGTTTTCCATCAAGTCTTGTATGGATAAAGTTGTCTGTGTGGATTAATCTTGTATGTATAGAATATAGATTGAGAAGGTTTTGTTTTAGAGGGTTTCTTCATGGGTAGAAGGGCGTGTTTTTGTAATTTGGAGGAACAAGTTTGGAAAAAAACTTGGCTTTATGTATAAAGCTCCCCCTTGAAGCTTACTATACGATTAAGCCGATACCAAACAGTCATGTATAGCTGACCGAATAAGCTGCGAGTCCCATTAAGCTCGTTAAGCTGCTAATAAACAGACCCTTAGTGTTGTGTTCTTTAATACACATGTCAAAGATGCCACATGGAATATCTCACAGAAATGGTTGACATTATGAATCTGGGATTTGTTGGTTTTTATTTCATTATAGAATATTGATTGTACATAAAACATATTGTCTACTCTCAACACGATCTACCTGTCTGTTGCAGCCTGTTCGTGATCATTTCAAAAACGATGAGAATGCTAAGGCTCTACTGAAGAGGGTTAAGGTAAACGCATCCTTCCATTGCCAAAAGTTCGGATTCAAGAACATAACTTTGAAGCATATAATATTTATATACTGCAAAATTCACACACACACAGACATATCTTTGACGAAGTTTGAACCCTTGACCTCCAAGAAGGTTGGGATCTACTGTAACTTGCGTATTTATGGTTGATGCAGGGTTTCAAAGTTACGAGATGATGAACGTGTTTTGGTCAAATTGTCATGATGAAATAGATGGAAGTGAGATTTTTTGATGAACGCAGTTTTTTTTGGGAAAATTCTTGCAATTGTATAACATCCATATTTATATATATTGCTCGAGTCTCTTGGATATGAAAGTTTGATTACCGTTCATATTCTGTATTTAGGACTTGTTTGTTAGCAACTTAATGTGACTTACAACTTATTCAATCAGCTATACATGATTGTTTGGTAGTGGCTTAATGATATAGAAAAGGAGAAAAGTAAAAAAAAAAAAAAAACTCGAAACTTTTTTAAGAGTGAGAATTAAACTGTTTCACCCCCTGCAAATCTCCGAGAGTTGCAGTGCGGTTGGAACCGTTTTCTATTTTAGTGTTTTGAAGGTTAGCGTGCGTTGAAGTTGGTCTTATGTACACCGACAAATCCCATGGGACCACAAAAAGCGAACCTCTATAACCACAAAGGCTTTAGCCACGTCTAGACTCGAACTAACAAAAAAAATAAAACTTCACTTAAACCACAATCCAAGAAATCTTGAATCCTTAGATGTTTGTTCTTTTATACGCATACTTGAGCTCTCACATTCTGCTTCTAATATCAAGAAAATATTAAACATAACATACATCATCATCATTCTAACATCATCAATCTACATTGACAAATAACCTTCAAACTTGCAACCAAAACACCATTCAAACAACCCATTCCAATTCCATTTCCATTTCCATTTTCAATTCCAATTCCAGTCCCTTATTTCTGTCCCTTCTTTTTCCACAAATCACCAAACATTCTAATCCCCTTTCTTTTCCCATCTTCACATTCATCTCCCAATCCTCCTGGTGATCCCACAAATCCACCATACCCATCATACACACCACCATAATGCTTATCCATCGATCCACACCTCTCCGATACCCGTCTCCCCTCGTTCACCTCCACCCCACCGGATAAAATTGCCGCCGCTGCATCTGCCGCCTTCCGCCACTGCTCCGTCTGCACTCTCAGCTTCTTCATCTCTGTTTCCAATGCCTCTTTTGCCCCTTCAACCTCTTTCAGCTTCTTGTTTAACTCATTCCCATCTTTTTTACTCCTTTTCAACTCTTCTTCGACATGGTTCAACTTCGAATTCGTCTTCTCTTCTTTCGCTTTGCCACTAGAAATCTGCACATTGGCTTCACTCAGTTGATGTTTTAGATTCTTGTTTTCTTGACTGAATGCGAGTAGTTCGTTGTCTTTCTCTTCGATTTTCGATTTCAGTGAGCTTATCTCTTCGTTCTTGGACGCCATGGCTGCTTCAAAATGGAGCTTTTCTGGTGATTCAACCACCACCGATGATTTCAAGCTCACCGTCTCAATTGGGACTTCAAAAACATCGGTTTCCTTCTGGATTTCATCTGGGGTTTCGTGATCTTGACTCATTTCCTTGTTCGAATCATGTGCTTCGCTTGGTGAAGAACGAAAATCTTGAACCGGCTCCGGCTCGGAAATGGCTGGCTTGGTGTTTGTCGTTGTAGTCCTTTTCTCTAGTTCCTTTTGAGCTTCTTTCTTTGCAGCTTCGGCTGAAGCCAACTGATCTTTAAGAATCTTGAGCTCACCTTGAGCTTGCTCAAGTTGAGTCTCCAACCCTGCGATACGAGTTCCCAGCTTCTTTTGGTTCAGCGGCTCGCTTCTTGGTGACCGCCGGTCACCGAGCTTCGGACTGCGGTCCGTAATCGGACGGTGGTGCGGTGGATCAGAGTCGGAGCTCGATGTTCGCAGAGGAGCAGGGCCTCTGGTTGATACCCTTTGAGGCATTTCTGAACCCCTGTGTTCATTCATTCACACATATATATATATATATACATACATAATATATATATATCAAATTAGCATCAAAATTCTTAAATCTAATGAATTGAATTGAAGTTTCAAGAAAAGAAGATGATGAATGTAGCTTCTAACCTTACTCTTGGCATTTATAGGGTTGAATGCGATATGAACACAAAGGTTTCTTGCAGATCTTGATCTTGCAATCTTTAATGCTGAAATGTTGATCAAAACCAGAGTTAGCTTCAAGAACAGTTTTGGTTTTTCCTTTTTACAGTCATGCAATTGAAGAGACACACAAAAAAGGAAGAAAACCTAGAAAAGATGAACCCATGAAAAAAGTGTAAAAAAGGTGAAAGCTTTATGGTTGTGTTTTGCAAAGAAAACAAGACCCACAAATCTAGAGAGCAAACCCATGTGTTGAAATCTGAAAAGGGAAAGAGAAAGGAGGAAACCATGCTCACCATGAAGATGGAATTGAGAGTGAGATCTGGGTTTGAAGAGTAATGAGGGTTGGTGATGTGTGAAGAATGGATGGGTGGTGTTTGTTTACCTTGGGAGGGCGGTGAGGCACCACTGCCAACAAGAAGCCTTGAAGAGAGTGAGAGAAAACAGTTTGAAGTTTGAATTAAAGTGAGATATGTGTGAGAGAGAGAGTATATGAACAGGTTGATGGTAGAGAGAGAGAGAGAGGGGGGAGAGAGAGAGAGAGAGAGAGGGAGAGGGGGGAGAGAGAGAGAGAGAGAAGGAGAGAGAGAGAGAGAGAATCTGAAGGGGGAAGGTGACAAGAAAGTAATATTTGAATGAGGGAAAGAGACATGTAAATGTGTACATTAACCATTTTCCTCTTGGAAATCACATTTCTTTTAACTTAATTAAATTATTGTTTGACTCTATTAATACAAATTAAATTATTTTTAATCATTCCCAAAAATAGTTATAACTATTGTTCACTAAAAATAAGCTAACTTTTTTTTATATATGTTTAGATGTATATATGTAATTATTATTTAAACTAAAAAATAATACATTTTTTTCTAAAATTTGCTTAATAAATTCAAATATTATAATATATATATATATTAATTTAAAATTCTTTTAATTAATATATTATAATTTTAATTTTTTTTTATCATCTTTTCATATTATTGAAGATTTGTTTCAATTATATTTTGAAATTTTATAATGGATTAATTTTTCAAGATACCACTTTTGGTCATTTTACATTCTTATCAACTAGTTTTGTCAAATATGATTTATTTATCAGCTAACTTATCAACTACTAACTAGTTTATCAATCATCAGTCACCTTATCAGCTAGTTTATCAGTCATCAGTCACCTTATCAGCTAGTTTGCCATATATCCTCAACAAATTTGCTACAGTGAGAAATCTTAGAAAAGGAAGTGGTCCATAGATTTTTGGTGAAATTGTGCTTCAAACACATTAAATATATCTTCAAAATAAATAAACAATAAGAATATAACATTTTTCATATTTTTAATAGTGACCTAAATCGTTGGTTCTCTAACACCCTCCTCAACTTTTCAAACTGTTGTATGCTCGTTTATACCAAGTAAATATACCGACATTCAGTTTGTTACTTAAGTTCTCTATCTCGTAATGAAAATGTTTCTATCACAAGTTTGTGTCATTGAAATTGTCTACAGATGTTATGTCCATCTTTAGTTACTCAGTTCTCGTACCCTCAACAATCATTCTTCCTACTATCGTCACTGATACTGTTATCGATATTCTACAAACATGTTCAAACCACCATCATCTTCTTTATCTCGTTTTATCCATGATGCGCGTAGCTCTAAATTTTATCTGAAGTATAAGTTGTACTCTGTATCTACGTAAGTAATCAAATAAGCATTCTTGTTATGGATCGATTTATCTTATCTGTACATCAATTCATGATATATTTGTGGTGATTTTCAGTAAAGGGATATGATCAAGTTTAAACTGTTCCTCTGGATGGCGGATGCAAAATAACGCTAGTTAGTCAGTTTTGCATATAGTATCTGCATTTATGGTCTCACATTGATAGTTATTAACTTCAACACAATTGTTGTTTCTGTACGCCGCCAATGATTACAGTCATCCGATTAGACCATTTCATTAAATGTATTGGGTGTTGGCATGTTCTTTGATATCAGTTCAGATCATTACTTGAACTGCTTCTTTCATTGGTCTTGCTCTCACTCCTTGTAATTTTACACATCTTTATCAACTGTTATTGATTGTTTTTATAATACACATATACATATATATATATATATATATACACATCAATGTGTGTGTGTATATATATATATATATATATATATGTAGGGTATATTTCAGATGCAATCATGTTCATTTGTACAACCAATACAACCCAATCAATTGAGATATTTATGAAAATGATGAGAGTTCATTTACTATAATTTGAATGTTTATGGAAGATGACTAGAGTTCATTAATTATGATTAATACATTATCTTAGGAAACAACCAAAACCTGTATGAAATCACATATTCATCAAATGAAACAGACGGTTGAGATTGAATTGTATTGGTTATACAAATGTAAAAAGTTGCATAATAACTGTATATGTTTGTAAATATATAGTGGTGAAAAGAAAGTGTCATCGTTGCAAATGATTGTTAGTGGTCAGGCAGAAGCAAGTAACCTTAACTAAAACGTTGCCATAAAAAATATTTGAATTATTTTGAAACAAATAAAAAAATTATAATAAAATTTATTACAATAAATAAGATATAATTAATTTTTGTTAAATTTAATTATTTAATTAATAATAAATATTTTATTTAATTCATAAATCAGTCAAATATTGAAAACCTTTACATTTATTCTAGTTTGACCAAATAAATATAACGTAAATGCTTTTTAATAATAAAAAGAAGTATAAATATTAATTAAAAAAGTGAATAACACTTATAGGTATGATTTTTTACATTAAAATTTGTGAAAGAAATTATCATTATTACTGTAATTACATAAAAAACAATTAAAAAAATCAAATTAATGGAATAATATGTATTTTTTTTCAAAATAAATATAACATCTGATTATTGTATTATTTGATTAAAAATATCTGATAACGATAATTATTCTTAAAAAAATGACAAATCAGTAACCATCAATAATTCGATATCTTAATAATTATTAAAATTTAGTGAATTTATTTGTAAAAAAACATATAATCATTATTTTTAAAGGTTGAAATTAATGATTGTATTTATTTAAATTATAATAACTTGTGTTCTTAATTGCTATAAGTGTTCACATATATGTTTAATTTGTGTTTATAATTATCACAATGTTTCATATATGTTTAATTTGTGTTCATAATTGCCACAAATGTTCACATTTACGTTCATAATTGTCATACGTGTTCATATATGACAAAATTTGTGTTCATACGAGTGTATACATGTCAATTTGTGTTCATAACTACCAATACACTCGCTTTGATTATTTATTTTAATTCCCGATCTCGAACTCCTACTGTCATCATATACAATTTTAACATTTTCAATGTTGTCGTGTTGTTTTCCAATGTCTTTATCCATAATTGTTTGAACGATTACAAACACTTTACTAGCGGATCTCCTCCACCAATCACAAATTTATAAATATTAAAAATGGAAGATCAATATTAAAAAAATGAAAAAAAAATCACAAGATCAATATTAAAAATGCAAAATTCATGGGATTTTATGAATCTTGTAACTCCCAATTAAAGAATATATGAGTTACAAAAAAAAAATTACCCATATACCCTTAACATTTAATTATTAGATAGTAAAGAACCTAATACTATGATAGATTGTGATTGGTATAAAAGGTTTACAAAGTTAACACAATAATTTAGGTTAACATTTGAACTAAGTTATCTCTCTCTCTCTCTCTCTCTCTCTCTCTCTCTATATATATATATATATATAATTTGAAAACTCTGTATTATGTGATAACCGTGACAATTTTTTTTCTTAAAATATTTAATGTATTGATGAACATATATTGTTTCATAATATGTTTGCTATATATATATATATATGCGGTTCACAATGTGAGACATTTTTACGTGTAGTTTTTATTTCACAGACAGACTAAAAAGATTCACATTGTGAACCAAATATATGTTAATTGATTTTTTTTAAATTAGTCTTAGATGAAGAAAAATCATATGAAATAGMACATGATCAACTAATTCTCAAGGCCATCACAATTTATGTGCAACCTTTCACGCGATCTTGGTGAGCTTGCCTTCAAACTGGTTTCGATATATAAAGGTCTCTGGGTTCGACAGAGTCAACTAATGGGGTCGTTTTAGCCACAATACTCTCGTAATCTTTCATTATTTTTGTGTAAACATGCATGTCGTTTGTGCTAAAAATCGCATGAAGACAATTTAAGGTTGGTTTGTGGAGTTTTTACAATTAAAGATCAGATTCTTCGAATTAAGCACGAGAAGCAATTAAATAATAAAAGAGACAGAGAAATTGGTGATGCGGAAAACCCCTTAACGAGGGGAAAGAATCATGGACGATAACAGTTACAGTTATAGATCGTGGATAACCACGTCGATCATGGAAAACAATGTGAAACAACGATTGCTCTCTTGAATCGTTCTTCGTACCTTCTGAATTGTTTTAACGCTCAGGTCTTTCGATATCTATCTGTGTTTTTCTTGTATTCTTATAGCCTTTTTATAGGTGCTTTGATTGAAGGTAACAGTCGGCTTTTATTGAGTTATTAATGGTTACCTTGATAAATTGATGAAGTAGATCTTGGTCGTAAATGTCTGAGACCTGCAATGAATATCAAAGGTAACAGATGTCGTGGTAGTGAACTCCGTCTTCTGATTTCATGAGAATGTTTGAAATGATTAAGTCATTGGACAATTTTTCAGAATAAATAAGTCATTGGACATTGCAAAATCTGTTAAATAACTCATTGGATTTTATAAAACCTGTTATATACATCTTTATAACCTATAAAACTGGTTAATGTGGTAAAGATTTAATTTTGACTTTTGAAAATCTGTTAGATACATTCTTATTGTAAGTTAAACTAACTCGTAAGATCATTTACATTTAATAATTCTATAAAAGATTTAATTTTAACCTTTTTATATATACTATATTATAAAGCATTTGACAAAAACTCTTAAAAACTAATTTTTATGCATGAAGTATTGTATATTGATACATATTACTTAAAATTTCAATATTACAAGTAAATTATGCACAAGTACAACTTATTAAAGCTTCATATTTGAATTCGTGTAACTAACTGCGGATAAACACAATCAAATAGAGAAAAATCAAGATGTATCTTGCTGCATTACGTGAATACCCTTTTAATTATTATTAAATGTATTAAAAGTTGACATTTAATTTAATATTTTTGTATTTATTTATTAAATATTAAATAATAATAATAATAATAATAATAATAATAATAATAATAATAATAATAATAATAATAATAATAGAGAAAAATAGAAAGTGATATGTTGTTGATGACAGTCTCTTTTCCTATGCTTTTTGCTTATTAGTGCTTCTGCTCTCTGCAATATCCATCTTTTC